CTCTTCTTGAAGCAGAACAGAGCTGACGGCTTTGGCAGAGACGACCAAGCATAAATATAAGGTCTCCCCTTCTCTAGGTAGACTTAGCAGCGGCTTAGTGCTCAAGTATGTCTTGAGATCTCTGAAGGCTGCACTACACTCGGTCGTCCAGCTCTTGTTTTTCTTCAGCTCCTTGCTTCTGTCTTGAAAAATAGGAAACTCCTCTCAGTTAATTTGGGGAAGAAACGACACAGTAAGGCATCTTCCCATTTAGCCTTTGGACGTCCTTTAACGTGCAGTGCTCGAGTAGCTGATCTATGGCATCTATCTTCTCAGGGTTGATCTTAATGCCTCCTTGGGTGATCATGAACCTAGTAAACTTTCCCGACTGCATCCTAAAAGCGAACTTGGCTGGGTTGAGCTTCATTTGGTAGTGTCGAAAGATAGAGAAGGTTTCATTAAGGTCACTATGTGGGTCAATGCCCGCTTCAATTTGACCAGGATATCATCCACATAAGCTTTCACGTTTTGACTAATCTGGGGCTTGAAGATCTTGCTGACGATCTGCTGGTAGGTAGCGCCTACATTCTTGAGACCGAAGGGCATCATCTTATAATAATAGGTCCCTTAATCTGTAAAAAATGAGGTCTTCTCTTGGTCATGCTCTACCATACGGATATGATTATAGTCAGAGAAGGCGTCCATGAAACTGAGTAGTTCATATCTTGTGCTTCCATCAACTAGCTGATCAATCCGAGGAAGAGGGTAGCTATCCTTCGGACATGCCTTGTTAAGATCAGTGAAGTCTACACACATCCTCCACTTGTTAAGAGCTTTCTTCACCAACACCATATTAGATAGACATTCAGGGTATTGCACCTCTCAAATAAATCCAGCTCTTAGGAGTCGCTCGACTTCATCGGCGGTCACCTTTTTCCTCTCGGGGCCGAGATGTCGATTCTTCTATGGAACCGGCTTAGTGTGATGATCAACTACAAGCTCATGGCTCATCACTTTGAGAGGATTCCCTAGCATATCTTCTGGTCTCCAGGCATATACATCAGTGTTCACCAATAGGAACGCAATCATATCTCGTTGAGGCTCAACAAGGCCGGATCCAATCTTAACCTTCTTCAATCCTTCCTGGTTGATCTGTATCTCTTGAAGTTCCTTAGTGGGAGTCGTCCTCTCTCGTTGAAATGCTTTATCAATCTGGAAGCAACTCTTTTCAATGGGTAGGGTCACTCCCTTTCCCTTTGTCGAGAGTAGATAGTAGGATCTGGTCTCTCGTTGGTTGCTTCTAGCCACGCCGACTCCTTCCGGGGTCGAAAACTTCATCATCTGATGATATGTAAAGAGGACGGCTCCCAAGAGATGAAGGGCAGTTCTGCACAATATGACATTGTGGGTCGACTTGAGATCCATCACTACAAACTAGACGGTGGATTGTCGAGGGTATTTGCTGACCATTAGGGGAGTGTGATCATCCCCTCCAGTTAGGGTGCATGCCCCATAAAACAAGGTTGCAATCAGGACTTGTTAATACCCATCTGGTTAAAGGTGTCGATATACAAGATATCAACCGAGCTCCCCGTGTCAACCATGATCCTCTTGACTTGGAAACCATCAATTCCAGCCGTAATGATAATAGGATCACCATGAGGCATCTCAATGTCCTTCAAGTCCACATAGCTAAAGGAAATGGGCTCATCTGCTCTTGGCTTCTTGTCGCACATATTTACCCACAACGCTCGCTTGGCATATCTCTTCCGAGCGTTGTTAGACGATCCTCTAGCTGTGGGACTACCACTGATAATGTTGATGACCCCCTTGTGGCCGGACTCGGCGAGTCGACTATTAGGTGGCGATTGAGGGCAAGACGACCAAAAATGAGACCTCCTGTCGGCTCCTGCTGAGGTGGCTTCCCTACTATCTCTTAGGTAGACTAGCTTCCTGAGATAACCTCTTTGTATCAGGTCCTCGATATCCCTTTGTAGGATTCCCCAATCATTGGTGATATGATCATGATCTCTGTGGTATCGATAGTATTACCGACTGTCTGAATTGTGAGGATCTGATTTCATTCGAGGAGGGGGCAAAATTGAGATATAGGGGGTTGGCTTACCAACTCTCATATTGGAAGGAGATCCCTAGCTGACTCCCGTACTGCTTTAGTCGCCTAGGCTATTACAGCGGCCATTAGCATGGCTAGTGGTGCCACAGGAGTCACTAATGCTAGAACTGTTGTTACCGCTGGGGTTGCTGGTGTCACAGCTACTGCCACTGCTGATTCTGTTGCCTTGGCTGCATTTTTGTAGGCTCGGGCATCCTCCTTGTCAATATATCCATGAGCCTTGGCCATCAACTACTCGTATATGGAGCATCGCTTCTTGGCGAGTGAGTCAGGTAGCTCATTATTCAATAGGCCGTCCATAATGACCGACATGGTAACTGAGCTTCCCAGGTCATCAACCTCCAATCACTTCACTTGGAACCTCTTGAAATAACTTCGGAGGCTCTTTCCGGACTCTTATGAGCAGGCAATTTCTGTTTGGTGCTGCCAAAAAGTGGTGCACAAACTTCTGGCTGAGTTGCTCGAAGCTACCGATGGACTTCTTCTCTAGGGCATTCCATCAAAGCTTGGCACTTTTCGGTCTCCCTCGCCCTTGTATTTATCTACTTGAGACATCTTAAATTTCTCATATGTGACATTCATGATGTCATCAGTGAGAAGAGTGTTCTCCCGAATGAATTTGGCGACTGGTCGGTAAGTCCGATCATAGCCGAAGGCCATGTAGGTAGCTGAGGGGCCTGGAGTGGCATGATAACGCTGATGACCTCGTTGAGCTCCTATGGTAGTGTGCTCCACACCATCACGACTAAAGTTGGGACTCTCATCAGTCACTTCCATGTATTGAGAGTAACGTCGACGAGGATCCGCTCGGCGAGTCGTCTAGGGTGGAGAAGGAGACGCGTGCTCAACTCGGCTTCTTTGTTGTCTAGCATGAGCAGCACACAGAGGCGGGGGAGGAGATTTAGGCTAAGCTTATGGTGGAGGATGAGTTGCTGAAGGTTGGTCCCCTGACGGTGGAGGAGCAGCGGAGTAAGTGGGCTGAGGAGGAGGAATCCGATGGAGGAGTTCGGTTGTGAAAGCTGCAAATTGTTGCTAGAAGGCTTGGGTGATTCACTGGGTGGACTCTTCAAGCTGGGCTTGAGTGGCATAGACCGGATGCAGTGCTCCATGGATGGACTGATCAGGCTTATGCTCAGAATCAGACATGATTGCTCGGAGAAGAAAGAAGGCCATACGCTGGGCACCAAACTGTTGATGGCTGATATCAAACAGTCAATGAGAGAAGTTATTTGGTTGACGGAGGTCTTCTAACCCTTCGATTGTCTGACTCTGAAGTGGACTGTTCTTCCCTACAAAGGTAGAAAATCGTAGAGGGCAGAGTTGGGCTCTCTGGTTGTTCATTCGACGATCAAGTTAGTAATTTACTTGAGTGGAGAAGTAATTGAACTATAAAAGTTCTTAAGCATTGTGGGTAGAGATAAAGATCTTACCTTTTTGTTGAAAATAGTACATCTCTTTATAGTGGTAGTAGAGGGGTAGGATGGTAACTTCGACCAAGTATGGGTTGTCGGTCAAGTTAGCATGTGCTTTACAGGTGTCGGCCGACGAGTGGAGGGGAGGTCACTTCTGCATTTAATGTAAAGTGATTGGAGGCGTGCGGTGCTGACTTGGTCCGATATAGTATAAAGACTATTAAGGATAAAGAAATGATTGCACCGATTATGCATTTAATAATATTTATTGTGAGGTGATTAGTTGTTAGTGCGCAGGAAGGGGCTCGAGGCTCAATGTAGTCGTCGCCTTTCTACTCGTCTGGTAGAAGGTCGAGAAGTACCGCCTTTTATTTCGCCTTCGCGAGATGTCGGCCGAATGGTCGGTCAAATAGGTTGATCAAGAAGTCGACCTAGCCAGGAGTCGACATGTAAACGCTTTTTGAGTCATCATCGTGAGATGTCGGCGTGTCGAACCGTCCGAGCTGGGTCTTTGGTTATTTTAAAGTGAAGAGTTGGCTCGATTACGCATAAGGTGTGACACTTATCTGCTATTGATTGAAGATTACTTTTTGGCACTAAAACGACTATAACAGTCAGATATTAGTTCATCCTTACTTCCTATGACTTCATAATGGATTGTCTATAGAGCTGCGAAAAGTATCTATATGCCTATATGATCACTAAATATCTATATTCAATAAGATGTTGTTACAAATATGGATAAACAGTAAAATATCAAGACTCGTATTCAACATGTCCAAATAAATGTTGATCACATAAGTCAAATTTGATGATCAAGAGATCTAATCTTAGTTTTGAGAAATATAGAAGAAGTCTTGATATTATTGATGAAAATAATTATATATATTTATACAAGCCGGAGACTTTTGCGGAAAGTTTCCATAAAGGTATAAGATAAAGGAGATGACATACTAACTAACACATGATTATACGTTACCAAATATAAGAAATAAGATATCAAGAGAATACATACTACTATATTTAACCAGCTTTTCTGATATAACGAACGTATCAATGAACTCTATTTTATCATATGAACTATATTTTTTTCAGTCTTAAGGTTTTGTCATATTAATTTTGTTTTCAGATGTATATCCACATCGTACCTGTACTCGTATCTGATTTTAGCGTGATGAATATGAGCTTTTTGTATAGAGACAAATCCGTGTTCATATACATAATTCATGATTGCAACGAACAGAAAAAGATAATTGTGGTATCTGAGGCGTATGGGATCCGTTCGTCCCTTGATGGTAACATTAATGATCTTTAAAAAGGAAAAATAAAATATTATGACACCACGCATTATAAAATTGGCCAGACATAATTTCTTAACCACTAATCTCTCTCTCCTTTCTATTTCCGCTGTTCACATCACCGACAAGAAACGAAAGTAAAACCCATCTCGCTCTCTTTCTAAACTTGAGGTATTATTTCTTTTTTTTTATTTTTTAAAATCCTTCCTTTCTTGCTGTATTCCTCATCTCCCCTCCCTTTGGATCTGCATTTAATGCAAAGGCGAGATTTTGATGCGTTGATTGAGAGATGGGATTAATCAGCTCAAAGATTTGATCTTTGGATAGTTTTGGGAAATGGGCATGGGTTGTTTTTCTTGCTTTGATTCAAAGGAAGAAGAGCAGTTGAATACTGATCATAATAATGAGAAGGTTGTTTATAAGAGAGAAGAGCAGCCCATGGTTCCTCCTAGGATTGATATGCTCCCTTCAGGTTTTGATTTGACTTTGATTTTATAAGTTGTTAAAATTCATAAACCTATGTTTTTTGGCTGAGCTGGTACATAGAATTAAGCTTAAATTTTAATATCTGATTACCCAATATTGCATTGGTTCATCTGGGTATTGCATTGATGCTGTTAGTGAACTGCTGATACAGTTGATAATTTTGACATGATTCAGGATTTTTGGTTGTGTTATGATTGATTGTGATTTAGTTATTTTGAAGAATTGTTCCTCAAATTTGGATTGATTTTATTTGTTATTGAATCCATTAATTCTGTGATTCTGACAATTGGATGCATAAAATTGCCTGATCATTGGATATTACATTGTTCCAGCTGGGTTCAGTGGCTAATTACAAAATTTATCACAACATAAATAGCTCCTTGTTAGTGATGGTTTATTTGAGATGGGTATTGCACTAATGCTGTTTGTGAACTGTTCATCCAGTTTATAACTTTGACATGGTTCATGATTGTTGTTCATAATCAAGAGTGGCTTAGTTACTTTTGAAGAACTATAGCTCAATATGGACATGGGTTTGATCAATTTATTAATTTGGTGTCAATAGATTACTGAAGTTCAAGTTTCTAATATGGTCCATTAAAAAGGAAATGCTTGATTCTCTGGGTGCATGTTATGTTTATGTTGTTTTAGCTGTTGATCTAAATGATTATCAGTTCTAAATTTGGATCATGAACTGCAAAAATCGTTGACAGTTCTAGTTGGATTATTTTATATTATGTACATAATTTGATTTGGATTTTCTGATGATAGAGCTCAATTGAGTTGATGATGTTTCAATTTTCATGAAGCACGCATGTCTTTCATTTTCTAGCGGCCACCACAATTTTGCTTCTTTGAGTTCACAAGGAGAAAAAAGGAACATTATTTGAGTTGAAACTAAATACACAATCAAGTTGATTACACCATTTATCAATAGACTACATGTAGTTTTTTGGAAGTCTACTGAATTGCAGCCTATTATTAACTTGAGGTTCTTGCATCAAATTGGTCATTTAACGGTTTAAATTTTCTTGAGCTTGTGGACCGTGGGTTATTAGTAGTAGTCTATTGACAATCTTCTTAAACTTAATTTGTGCATAATATTTTTAATTTATTTACCTTGGAGAAATATAGGGTCTTCTCTGGGTGGTATTGCATTGAATTTCGTTGTTTTGAGGAGCTCCTTAATATGTATTGTACTCTATATTCAAATTGTTTCATTATGTCGGACTCAATTTTGTCTATAGGTATTCAAGGTTCTTGGTTGTAATTGAAGTATTACCTTAATTTGGTAAATTATCTGAATCAGAAACTATATTCTATTATAACATCATGAGTTGAATTCAGTGGGTTTTCCCAGTAGAGCTCAATTTGAAAATTTGGGTTACTCTCAATTTTATGAGAATCGTCTACAGGAGGCAAGCTCTTTATGATTCAAGTCATTGATGGAAAACCTTCTCTGACCTATGTTTCTTCAGTTTTCTCTTGTTATCCTTGAGTCGACTTTCTGTCTTGTGGATACATGTTGAGAGCTAATTTTATCTGGTTCCTAATGCTAAAAGCATAATTGGTTTAATGAGATTTGTTTCAAACACAATGTGCACAGGCATATATATATGCATGAGTGTAATAGTTTTGCTTGGCTTTTGGTTCTTCTCTATGTCACCGACAAGGAAATTCATGTGTGAAAACTTTATTAGTTCTCTCCACATAAATATATCTCTGATTTTGGATTAAATTATTCTCAGGACTCGATAGGGTTAGGTCAAGTGGCAATTTGAGTAGCAGAAGGGAATCAGTCAGTCCAAGAGATGGCTCTGGTGTCAATATATCTGCCCAAACTTTCACCTTTCGGGAGCTTGCAGCAGCCACAAAGAACTTCAGGCCTGAATGCCTCATCGGAGAAGGGGGATTTGGGATGGTCTATAAAGGTCGTCTTGAGAGCACTGGACAGGTAATTTTTGTTCTAATTCATACTTGTAATATATCAACAACGTTTGACCTGTTCTTTGCTTATAACATTAAAAGTTTCTTTATAGGAAATATAGCACTAAATATAATATAAGAAATATATTTTCCATTGTAGGTTGTGGCGGTAAAGCAACTTGATAGGAATGGGCTTCAAGGAAATAGAGAATTTTTGGTGGAGGTGCTCATGCTTAGCTTATTACATCACCCCAACCTTGTTAATCTAATTGGTTATTGTGCTGATGGAGATCAACGGCTTCTTGTATATGAGTTTATGCCCTTGGGATCTTTGGAAGATCATTTACACGGTACTACTTCTACTTGTCTATGGAATATGTAATCTTTCGTATCTTTCAATATCCAAGCATTAGTTCTTTTTTAGATTGGGTGATATCCATTGATATTACTGCTGCTTATATTTCTTAGTCAATTTTTTGTTTTTGTTTTATTTGTTCCTTTATCTCTCTTTTTGAGTTAAATAAAATAACACTGAGAAAAGATTTAGGGGGTTTAGAGGTTAGGGTTTGTAATAATGGTTTATTAGCTCATTTGTTTTAATGGTTCATAAATGTAAGAGTAGCTTAGGTTGAAGAGAAAAAAAAAACTTGTATATTTTTTCAATTAGTTGTCATTTCTAATAGTCAAAACTAAAATAAATGAAAGATAAGAGTAAATCTAACATACAGTGAGTAATTTATGCTGATTTGAGGTTGTAAAGACCCATTAATGGACATGGACTAATCTAGTGTGGCCCAATTATTCAAAGGATCTATCCTATTTGAATCTTGAGTTCAAGCATATTTAACTATATCTCCATCTTACTCTCTTTCCGATATGACACTAAATCCCATAATGTGCCTTTTTGTAAACCAAACCCACACTTAACCAAATGGAGGCGAGAAACTCTTTAACAAATCTTTTGTTTTGGCTCGGATCTCGTTGATTCCAACCTGACCATAATTTCGCTGAATCTCTAGTAGATAGCTCTCGATTTAATATCTTGGAGTATTAGTTTAAACTATACATGAAATAAAATTTAGGATTTGAGAACTTTCATGATTGTTGTATTGATGGAATTGCTGTGCGTCCTTGGACGCTGACCTAATGCATTGTTTGACCTACACCTATGCAAGGGTCTCAAGTCCAAACCACCTCCATGAACAACAAGCTGAGTTGTCTGGAGTGCACCTACAAACAACTGTAATGGTGGACAAGCTAAGGCCACACAATTCGATTGGATTCTGAATGTATTGGTTTGACAAACACAATGGGGATTTTCTATATTGGAAACTTGTAGTGAGGAGAGATGAGGAATTGATGTGAATATCTTTAGGATTTAAGCACATCTATTCTTAGGCATCATAGGCTTAGCGTCCAAGTAATAGACCCGGGGCTCAAGTATTGTGAATAGCCTTAGGATCTAAGCTAATCTATATATGAAATGATACGTTTGTAGCCCAAGCAATAGCCTTGGATCCCAAGTAATAAGTTTAGTGGCAAAGTAATGAACTTGGGGATCAAGTAAACTTCAGCCCAAAGTAAACTTTGGATCCAAGCAAGGTTTTAAATGTCGGCCGACATATCTGACATGTCGGCCGGCATATCGGTTTGAGGGCTTGACCGACACGACATAGATGTTTTCAACTCGTATGTCGGTTTTCAGGGCCAAATCGGAAATATCAGGGTCATATTGGGCATATCGGCTTGTTTTTTAGCTTTAAAAAATCGGCCGATATGGTACTTTTTTTTAAGATCTGTTTTTTGTTATCAGGTTTGGGTTTAGTGATAAATACCCAAACCCGTTTGACCCGTTCTCATGCTTAAGGGTTTCTTTATGAACCCGATAAAAGAATTTATGAACCCAAATCCATATATTATTTACTTTTTTATATGTTTAGTCTATAGAATTTATTAAATATGCTTATATTGAATTTATGAATGCTTAGATTACATTTAGGACAGGATATTATACATATGCGTACTACCCGATATGACAATCCGATATTTAGTCAATGTCCTCCGATATATCCCCGATTTCCGCTATCCGACATGGATTTTAACCATCCGACATGAACCCGACATCCGACATTTAATACCTTGGATGCAAGTAATTTTAGGGCCCAAGTTTTGAAACTTTTATCTATTTTCAATGATTCCCCAGAAGCTTAAAACTTGCCTTTACTTGCCTTTTAGTTTCACATGCATAGGTAAGTTTTTGCGACTCTTATGAATCTATTGGGAAGATCCTAGAGCCTTGCAGAAATAAAGTTAAAGCACATGGCCGTTAACGTGCTAATTGCTATAGATAAGAAGATGAAAGTGGCACCATAGTTCAAAAGTTGGCTACTGTGGATGCACACTTGTTAGAGTATATGTCTATTTAAAGCGTTAATAAATAAAAAAATGCGTAGGCTATAGGTGCTAGTAGAAGCACGCCTTGAGGATTTACCTATGCAAGGTGAAGTTTCGACCAACTCTTATGGACTTTACTAGGTAGATTCTAGAGGCTTTGTAGAAATCATGTAGGCACATGCATGTTAAAGTGCTCTAGGACAATAAGAAAAATGGTATCATAGTTCAAAGCTTGGCTACAGCGGAAGCACTTAATATTAATTTCATGTGTGATCATTGAACAATATGTCAAGTACAGATTCATTACTTAGTTCACCATGTGCTTGACTAATTTTCAATTGACTTAACTGTGATTCAAGTCCTAGTGAAGTCTATGCTGCGCGTTAAATTATAAGGCAACCAAATATGAGTTTGAAACTTGTGATGGATTATTGAAAATAGATAAAGCTTCAAAAACTTGGGCTCTAAAATTACTTGTGTCTAAAGTTTTCTTGCGGTCTAAATTTACTCAGGCTCCAAATCTAGTACTGGACTTCAAGACTATTACTTGGGCTCCAGATCTATTCCTTTTACTTTAAGATTATTACTTGTGCTCCAAATCTATAAATTGGGCTCCAAGCCTATGATGATGCCTATAAATAGAGGGGCTTAGATCTTAAGGCCATTTACAACAATTGCTCACCTCTTCTCACTATAGGTATCTAACATAGAAAAGCCTTCTTGAGCGCGCCAAATTAATAGATTCAGTATCCTATTGAATCTTGTGATGACGTGTTAGCTCGTCCACAGTAGAGTTATTTGTAGGCACAAACCAGAGCACTAAGTTTGTTGTTCTTAGAAGCGGTTCGCACTTGAAATCGCATCAAAGTAGACCGAATAACAATTTAAGGTTAGCATCAAAGTAGACCTTGGATCCTTGAAGTATTTTTTAGGTATCGAGGTGGCTAGATCGAAAAAAGGAATTCTCTTATCTCAGAAAAAATATGTGCTTGATATGTTGTTAAATGCTGGGATATCAAAAAGAGCATTGACTTACCTATGGATGACAAGATCAAACTACTACCAAATAAAGAGAAGTTATTAGAGGATACTGAAGAATACAGACGACTTGTAGGAAAGCTGAATTACCTAATAGTCACAAGATTAGATATTATATTTTCTGTTAGTGTAGATAGTCAGTTTTTCTCGGCATCCAAGAAACCTCATGTGGAAGCTGTAAAGAGGATTATTAGGTATCTTAAGAAAACTCTAGGAAATGAAGTACTCCATTCAGACTGCGGTCACACGAGAGTTGTAGGATTCTCAGATGTAGATTTGGTAGGATCCCCATAGGACAAAAGATCAACTAATAGGTATTGTGTATTTCTTAGAGAAAATCTAATATCATGGAAGAGTAAGAAACAGAGTGTAGTTTCTCGATCTACAGCTGAGTCTGAGTATCGAGTCATGGTGAATTTGACTTGCAAGTTGATCTGAGTTAGAGATATATTAACAAAGATTGATTATTTTCCAGAGTGTCCCATGAGCTTGTATAAAGATAACAAGGCCGCCATTCACATAGCTCAGAATCCGGTGTTAATGAGAGAACAAAATATATAGAGATTGATTGCCACTTGATTTGTGAGAAGATAGATAATGGAAGCATTAGAGCTAAGCACATACCATCTAAACGTCAACTTCCAGACATTCTTATAAAACCTCTTGGGAGAGCACGAGTGAATTTCATTTGTTGTTTTAGCAATGTATGATATGTATGCTTAATTTTAGGGGGAGTGTTGAGAGAGTAGTTTACTCATTTGTTATGTAGTCCCACATCGGTCATAGAAAAAATCTTTTGTTTACCTAAACCCTATAAATAACATTCAAGAGAGCTAATAAGAGTTCTCTAGGGTTTCCGCAACAACGCATTTCTTCAGGAGAAACTAAATTAAGAGGTTCAAGGAGTTAAGGGCCTGTCTAGATTTAAAAATTACTAGACCATGTTATTCTTAAGTTGTAGTTTTATGTTTGCAAAGTATATCTCGTGGGTTGCCACCTGCAGTTTCTCTATACTACAGTTTTACCTTTTCTTTTTCACTTCTATTTGCGAGGGTTAAGAAAAACCCACTTTCACAAGATATTATAAAATGCAATTAAGTTTATTTTTTAAAATTAGATAACTATAGTCCACTATTAAACAATAGCGTAACAGAACTAGAATTAGCAATCTGAAGTTAAGTAACTAAACTGCAGAAAACTACACTGAAGTAAGTAACTCCAAATGCGAAGGCCCTAACCTAAATAGTTTAGATAGATATATAAGCGAAAGAGGTGCAAACTCTTAATGGTTTTGCAATGTCCTTGAAGAGAGATTAATTGTCCCTGTCTTTTTAGTCATTGATTGATATAGAATCACAAGATAAAAGTGGAAGGTACACTTGTTTTGTCCCATGGTTAGTCCCATAGATTTTGGGTCCAAAAAAAGGCTCTCGTCCCTGAATTATTTTTCTATCATATGCTGTCTTCGGACTTGAAATTGCCTAATTTTTCCAATCAGTTGAAGGTTGAGGTTGCAATGCCTTTTTTTCCCGGAATTGTGTTCATGTTTCTCGTATAAATTCTTCGATTATTTGGCACTTGTACATTCTGTGTTGAATTTATCCTATGAAGGATACAGGTAAATGTTTCTTCAAATAAGTCAGAATGTTAACAGGACACCTATGCCACTTTTAGAAGTTTTGAAAACATATCATCTGTAAATGATTCCAAACTGAAATTAAAGTTTTATCTCATTTATACAGATCTCCCTCCCGACAAGGAGCCTCTAGATTGGAACACAAGGATGAAAATAGCAGCCGGAGCAGCAAAAGGATTAGAATACCTCCACGATAAAGCCAACCCTCCGGTTATCTACAGAGACTTCAAGTCCTCCAATATTTTATTAGACGAGGGCTTTCACCCAAAACTCTCTGATTTTGGGCTTGCGAAGCTCGGCCCAGTCGGTGATAAATCTCATGTCTCGACTAGAGTTATGGGAACTTATGGATATTGTGCTCCAGAATATGCTATGACTGGGCAGTTGACAGTTAAATCCGATGTGTATAGTTTTGGGGTTGTTTTCTTGGAGTTGATTACTGGAAGGAAGGCTATTGATAGCAGTAAAGCTCATGGAGAACAGAATCTCATTTCATGGGTAAGGCTGCTTCTTAGATTATATTGGTCATAGTAAATTTGTTTCCAAGTAGTTCACTTAGTTCAATCTTTCTTGATTTTTTACTTCATGCATTTCAACTTTAAGAATTATCATTTCAAGGCCTAATGTGTTTAATACAACGACAGGGACTACTTGATTTATCTACATCGATTTCTCTATTACCTTATGAGATTGGATAATATCAGATATAGCCTTCTAAACAACTGTTGAGCCGTTGATAGGATTTTATCAAGTCAATGATAATATCTTTGGTCGCTTGTATTGACTAACAGTGTTAGATATGAATTAGAATTTTTATTTGAGAAGTGTTTCGATGAGAGCAAGGAATTTTTTTTCCAGAGACTTAGGAATTTTTGTTTAGTGGAAGAATTTTAAGATGGTATCATAGTGACCCAGCTTCAAATCCCAACTGACGTGCATTCGAAGCGGAGTATAGAAAACAGAGTATCCCCGTATAAAGTAATATGTCAAATTACAACTTTAAATCGGGGAGGCTTAACATAAACTTGAGCATGGGAGGCATGCATCTCGGAAGCTTGACCATCAAAAAAAATCTGCTGGATGGAAAGGGAGTCTTGATGAAGGGCATAGATAACAGTGTTTGTTCTAGTCAATGTTTTAGACATCCTCTCTTGGGCATAAATATAAGCTAGAGAACCAATTTGCAATTTCAAATAGATGCTTCACCTTACTGTGATTCAAATCATATACAGAGAAACTTATCTTTTGAACATCACAATAATCATAATTATAACGTGAATTTTTTTTAGTCCAATTAAATAACTAATCACTTTGTTTATACTAACAGCAGGTTTGGCAACGGGTCCACCGAGACATATTTGGCAAATAGCTTATTTTGACTTATAAACTAAAAAAAAAAAAGATAAGCTGGGGTAACCTAGATTATTTTTTTGATGGCTTATAAACCACATAGATTGACCGAATAAAAGACCACTTTACCCTTAACATTTAAGAAAATTCAAAAGCCCATTTTCTCTAGCTCCAACCTCTTTTTGGTCATTTTGACAGCAATGATGGATTATAAGCCACTTATTTGCCAAACACTCTACTATTGAAAATGGATTATAATGCACTGATCGAATTTATCACACTTTGGATTATTTCACTTGACTTATAAGTAGGGGTGCTAAACCATATCCGTATCCGATGAAATATCCGTAACCGTATCCGTTAGGATACGAATATGGTTACTCAAATCTATAACCGATAGGATATGGTTATGGATATGGTTTTGTAGTGAAATATCTGTATCCGTATCCGAAATATCCGAATACATATTAGTCATACTCTTACGATAGTTTCGATTCTTAGATTATGGATTTGTGGTTAATTTTGATGATCAAGGTGACTAATCTTAACTATTTAGTTATAATGGACATATTAACGAACTTTTTTGTATCACATGAACTATGTTTTTCTCAATACTATCTAGTTTTCTCATATCTGTTTTGTATCCGCATGCATATCCGCTTATATATCCGCATGTATATCCGTAACCGTATCCGATTTTAGCGGATATGGTTATAAGTTTTTCTTACCGAGGTATATCCGTATCTGTATCCGTATCCGAGATGGGTAAGCGGATATGGATATGGTAAGCATCATATCCGAGCCGTATCCGGACCGAATGCACCCCTACTTATAAGCCATATGTAGATTATAAGCTAAGTGGGTTATAATCCAAAGTTGCCAAACATGTTCTAAGTGTGCAGGACAATAGTAGAGAATTTAATCTCCATGATTAAAAATGGTCTTGCATCCGTAACTATTTATATCGTGGCTTGATTATTATTAAGTTTGCTTGACGTACATTATTAGTTTATAACCCATTATCGTTTTTGAGTGAAGTGATAATTTGACATGGTATTAGGGAATTGGATTCAACAGATGCAAAAGAGTCTGAGTTCAAACCTTATTGTAAACTAATCAAAAGACATTTTGTTTTCCATCCCTTTATTTATTTTACATTGCTAACCAACTCACAATCATGAAAACCTTGGTGCAGGCCCGACCAATGTTCAACGATCGACGAAAACTCTCGAAACTGGCTGACTCAAACCTACAAGGCCGATACCCAACCCGCGGCCTCTACCAAGCCCTCGCCGTAGCCTCAATGTGCATCCAAGAAGAGGCTGCAACCCGCCCTCTCATTGCAGACGTTGTCACCGCCCTCTCCTACCTCGCCACCCAATCCTACGACTCATCCACCGCTCCCGCATCCGGTCACCCGTCAACCAGAGCTGGCCGACCGCCGGCTGAGAAAGCCGGAAACGACGATGGCCAAAGGTTGGAGGCATATGGGTCGGAGAGGGATGACTCGCCCAGAGAGGGAGTTCCTCTGAACAACAAGGATTTCGATAGGGAGAAAGCAATAGCTGAAGCGAAGATGTGGGGGGCGAACTGGCGGGAGAAGAGGAGGGCAAACGATTGAGGATTGAGTTTTGATGCTGCAAATGGTAATAGGTAGATTTATGTATCCATTTTTCATGTAATTTTAACCTTTTTTTTTTCTAGTACCCCTTGTTTATTAGATGGAGGGGGAGGGGAAGGGGGAGAGTGTTGAGTGTATATTGTGGAGAGAGGAGAAAAAAAAGTTTGTAGTTATGTTGTGGTGAGAAGACATTGTGTGTTGTGCTTGTAAAAATTCCATGAGAAAATTTTGTGATGTTTCCCTTCACCCATTCTTATTGGGCTTTTGCCATTGAGAATGAGAAGGAGATGTGTCTTTCCGCAAAGCGTGCATTGTGCTAAACTATGGATCCCAGACTCCTTATCTGCAGCATTTACTACTTTTTGTCTGATTTATATTCAACGATAAGGAAGCATACTGATGCAATATTTAGCACTTTATGTCCTTGTATGTTGTTTACTCAGAGATTGTCAACTTCTGGCCTTTAGAAGTGTATTTGAATCTTTGTATTTTCATAATCGTAACTTTCCATTTCCAGTGATAGCGTAAAAGTTGAGCAACCCACACTTGCATTCAAAAGTACATTTCTATGTTTAAGCGGCATTAGGTCTCTCTCTCTCTCTCTCTCTGAAGGGAAATAAGAATCTCCTTCCTAACCAAACCATTGTTGGTACTAAAAAAGAAACACGATCTTCTTGCATGACCAAACAAATGTTGGTTTTGATCATATTCATGGTTCATTTCAAAGTTTTCTGTTTTCCTTCCCAATTAAAGGAGGGAGGACAAAAATGAAGAGAGAGAATTTAGGTGATTTGAGTGCAGTTAGGTATACTAGTAGCATTTATGCTCTATAAAAAGAACAAGAAAACGTGCTTTTGTAACAAGAAAAAAGGGGTCTCCTTGCGGCTCTAGATGACTCTGACGCACAAAATCCAAACAACAGAACTTGAATGATGGGGGGTGAAGATTGGGATGCTTCTTGGGGTTGTTGAGGATGATGATGAGAATGAGTGACACTTCAAAGTATATTCGGTATCTGATAACTGAATGACCTGCAAGCACGAACAAGCACAAGAAGGGATATGGGGATTTGTCCTAGCCAAAGTCCCTCCCACTCTCAGTTGATTCTAGTCGTAACGGGCTGCAATATGAGACGATTTGAATTGCAAAAGGAAGGTTCAAGTTAGTGTTTAGTAGTAAGTTACGTGGCGGGACATCCAGATATATAGGATCTTGCGTGGAATGCTAGGTTAACTTAGACTGGATGATGATATAT